ACCAAAACCCTGAAAATTTTGATAACCCAAATGAACAAAAGGCTAATCTCACTCTCATTCTCTCTGAGAAGCTCGGTCCAGCTTCACAGGCCTCCTCTCTACCACTCAATCTCTATCTTGTTTTACTCTTCCTCCAAACCCAAAAGGTCAAAGTTTAACTCTGTCTTCAAAGACGGAAGGTCAAAATCAACGCCCAAAGTAGCAGTAGCTGAATATTTAATCAACCAGCACCAGTTTTCCCCAGAAGCTGCTTTGAAAGCCTCATCATCCTATGCTTTTCTTAAAAATACCGCAGAGACGGATTCGGTGCTTTCATTCCTAAAAGAAAGCGGGTTCTCCAAAACCCAGCTAGAGGAAGTGGTTAAAAGGATCCCGTGGATCCTTCGTGCCAATCTTGACACGACCATCAAACCCAAAATCAAGATTTTCCAAGACTCTGGCTTTTCAGACTCCGACATTGCGGATGTTATATCCTCTGACCCCTGGATTTTATGGCAGAGTGCTGATAATCGGCTTGGTCCTGCTATTTTAGGATTGAAGAACATTCTGGGCTCCAATGCTGGTGTGCTTAAGGTTTTAAAGTTATGTGGTTGGTATCTCAAATATGACTTGGAGAAGACAGTGATTCCCAATATTGAGGTTTTGAAGAGTTTGGGTATAAGTTCGTCGCAGATTGTCAAATACATTTGTCATTTTCCCAGATTTTATCTGCATACGCAGGAGAACATTATGGATTTTGTTAGAAGGGTTGATGAAATGGGTTTCGATAGGAAGTCCAAGTTGTTCCTATCAGCTATTCGGACCATTAGTTCGATGAGTTTGGAGACCTGGGAAATGAAGGTGAAGCTTTTCCAGAGTTTGGGGTTTTCAGAAAAGGGTGTCTTGGAGGCGTTTAGGAGGGCTCCTCAGGTGTTTTGTATATCTGAGAAGAAGATTAAGGAGGCAACAGAGATAATGCTCAGCTCTGGCAAGGCTGATATCGCATTTATAGTTAGTCACCCAGAGTTGCTTATTTGTAGCGTTGATCACAGGCTGAAACCACGACTACAAGTTATGGAGAACCTAGAAAAGAAAAATCTACTTAGGAAAATACCTAGTTTGACCACAATCTGCAAGTACACTGATCAGAAGTTTGCTGAAAGATTTGTTATTCCTTATGCAAATGAACTTGAGGTCTAACATGACCAGTGAAGAGCCATGCTAATGCGATTTGAATATTTTTAGCTGGCACTGGCATTTGATGATGCTTGTAACTTGCAGGAAGAGTTTTTTTTTTTTTTTGGGGAAGGGCATGGAAAGGAAATAGAAAGGTCATGATTGTTTTTGAGGTATGTTCTTTTGAGCACTCGTGTTTCCTTCTAATAGTCTGTAACACTCAGATTATTGTTATTGTGGATCTGGTTATACCTTCTCCATTTATTAATTTCTTTAAACTTTGAATGCCTTAAAAAAGAGTGATAGTTAGCTTATTTGCTACTCAAAGTAATACTTTGTAGTCTTTTAGGTTTCAAGTTACCAATATCTTGAGCTAAGGGTATTAGTATCTGCTGTGTGTTCGACTCTTACAAACATTTGTTCTTACTTTGTTTGCTCTTCCTTGGCTTGTATATTTGTAATTGTGGCTTATGTAAATTTGCTTTTCAGAGATGAGATTGAACTTTTTTTATTGCAGTCAAATTTTTTTGTTTTTTTTTAACGGAGTCTGCAAATTCTGTTAGACATTATGATCTCTAATCAGAATACAGGTAGTTTCATCGAGTTGATCTATCTGAAAGTGAACAGAAAATTTCACTATAGAGTTGCTTTTTACAATACCTGTGATATTGACAGCGCAAATTCTCCCAAATCATATATCATATCTACTTAATGTAGACAGCAGGCTTTGAAAGCTAGGCCTTCATCATACGTGTTAATGCATTGGGGATGGGAAGATTGGAGAAGATTTCTCATTCTCAATGAATTGGGACTGGCAACAGCGAGGGAAAGGATTAGAGGATTGTGGTTAGGGTAAATAATGCTTGTGTTCGTTCGTTTGTTTGTTTTTTTTAATCTGCTCTACAGCTTATGATAGTTGATGGAATTATAGATAATCTATTATTTGGGTTTAACTGTATGTCTTCTATTTAAAACTGTTTTAGGTTTCTATACTTATTGACTAAAAAAGGCTGTTCTTCTAAAAGAGGAGAAAAACTTGCATGTCACGGGGATAACACTATTTTGCTATCCCATGGCGAAAAGTGATTGAATGGGATAGCAAAACATTGCTATCCCTGTGAGATGCAAGTTCTTCTCTTGTTCCCATTTCTCAAATTGTTAGATCCCAATACAAGCCTTACAACTTACAAGGGCATGGGAAATTCAACTTTTAGCTAGATTTAGACTAAACACCTACTAGCTCCTACTGGTTTTCTTTTGACCAATTTAGCCCACGGTATCCATCCCATACTATTTCAAAGTCAATTTCCTCTTTCTAGGGTCATAGACCTACATAATAATTCAAATAACTTAAAACAAAAGCAAAAACATAGTTGTTTTAAAACGTTTTGTTGTGAATTAAACTTCACATGTGGTAGTTATCTAACACATCTTCATTTCTAACCTTCTTGCTCTCCCACCTTAATAATTTTTCTCTTTTGCACTTCTCTTTGTTTGGATTTGGTTAAACTTTTTACCCATAGGGTTGATGCTACTCATTATAGGAGGAATCTTTGTTTATGTTTATGAGTTTGTGACATCATCCACCTATCACCTCCCACAATTGAAAAACACTTCCATTTGAAACTCAACTTACTACATCCATGTTCACTTCACACTACATGTCTCAATGATGCATAAGATAAACAATAGGTCAACAACATAGATGTGGTGTGCTTTTTTGCTTTCTCCAACTTTAGACTTGGCTACCTTGCTTGGTCCGCATGCTTTCTCAACTTTTTTATTTTAAGGATCAAATGAACAGGAAATTGCCAATTACTCTTGTGCCAAACTCATAAGGTGATTAATTTAAGGCAAATCTATTCCTGGTGCTTCACGCTTGGAGAATTTCGGCTTCAATCTTGTACGGAAGTGGTGTTATATCCTTATTTTAAAGCTTTTCCTAGTACTCCTGCCTTGCTCCTCTGAATATAATACGAACTAGTGATGTGGGATCGGCTGAGCCAAATACTATGTTCAGACTAGAGCATTCAATTCAAGATCAATTACCATTGAACATAGAGGGCCATGATGTTTATATTCTTGAAACGAGCTACCAACGTAAATAACCAATTAGCTCTCTCTCAATGTACAAGTATTAGAAGTCTCAAGATTGAATTTCCCTACCCGTAAATTAAAACAAAAAAAGAAAGACTACCAACACAAATAGAGATGATGACCACATTCAAATATGAATCAAAAGGGGGGAAGAGTAGAATATATGAGATGAGTGTGAGGCTTTTTTTGGGCTAGACATGCATCATGCATGGGATGGAAGGTCCCAAATAAAAGTAAAGTCTAATCCTAAGGCAACAAGTAGTGGTTAAAGGGGCCATCATCTTTTTCCATGCTCTCAAGTGCATTGCTCCCTTCATCATCACAACCTCACTTTGCTTAATCTCTCTTCCTCTTTTTTTATGATGAATTCTGCGGATCCCATCCTTTCTTTTCAACACTTTCAGTCTGCTTTCCATAGGCCTCCTGGTTTTCTAGTTTAAGAAAATTAGGGTTAGAAAATGAATTATTGCCTATATTCTTACAGCTCACGGGCCGCCACTACTATATAGAATTTTTTGTGTTTGGCTATGGGGAGAGAGAGAGAGAGAGAGAGAGAGAGAGAGAGAGAGAGTTGATAGAAAACAACAAAGTAAAATGAAATTTAAGAAGCAAATTATCTGGAGGATTTAATTCCCTTCTCATTTTAGAAGTGGAATTTAATTTGGGTTAATCTTTTCTTTCCCATTCTATATCACCCACCTACCTACTTCGTTTGTCGGAGTTTCTTTTGCCTCTACCATAATGTGTCAAGTAAACCAGTGATTTGCATATGGTAGACCAATCACTAAGCAATTATTTATGCATCCCATCAAAATGAAAGGGTCGAAAATCACCAAGAATGACTTGAGAAGAAGAGCTCTCAAATTCTTGTGGGTTCCATTGAAGAGAAGTGGTTTGGTAGTTGTTCACTTGCTTGTGGGCACTAGCCATAGGGGTCGTGAGTCATAACTGTGATGGGCTCACAAGTTGGTGGCATGATTGGATCATGAAACAAGGCTCGTGGGCTTTAACTTTCTCATGCACCTTTTTTCAATTAAAAAAATATATATATATGGGAAGCATTAGAGAAAAGTAAAGGCTAAGAACGAAGGCTGTCCTGTGAGCTTGTGACCCCATTTCAAAGGGTTGCAAAAAGGAGTGTCACAAAAAGGATCAAATCGGGCCAGATTTTATTGTAATTAGGTGTATACTTCTTTTCCCTCATCGTTCGTCTTACATGACAATGAATGTCAGAAAATTATCAACTAGGGCAAGATTTTATTTTAATGAGGCACATACTTTTCTCTCACTCTCTTATTACGCGATAAGGGGTGTTAGAAAAACAACTAAATAGCACAATAACCTAAATTGAGAGATAAATTACATGACGAAAGAGACAAACTCTCTCTTATTACGCGATAAGAAGTGTTAGAAAAACAACTAAATAGCGCAATAACCTAAATTGAGAAATAAATTATATGACGAAAGAGACAGACGCAAAAGGAAGTATGTCCCGGTTGCATGTAAGATGAACATATGTTAACCAATGTAGAAGGAGAAAAATGAGAGACAGAGAGATGGAACAGATGTTAAAGGGAAAAAAGACATAAGATAAAGGCCAAAGCAGAGGAAAGCTCTAGCATTGCACTGTAGTTGTGCTATGTTTGTTTGCCTCAGACTGATCTGAGAAATGAAGTGGTGGTTTAAACTTAGGAAACGTAGCATCCACTACCTTCCCCTCCTCCCCCCCCCCCCCCCCCCCCCCCCCCCTTCCTTTCTTTTAAAAGCCATCCAAAGCACACCTCAAAAACCAAAAAACGGAACAGTTTCAGCAAGAAAGCAAGCAAGCACAAGATCTAAGAAAAAGAAACACAAAAACAGAGAAGAGAAAAAATTGAAGAAGCAACAAATTCTTCCTGCAGAACATGAAGTCAAGGGAAGCCAAAGGAGCTCTTTCTGCAGATCTATTAGTGTGTTTTCCTTCAAGAACCAGTCTAAAACTGATGCCCAAGCCAATTTGCAGCCCAGCAAGGCCCTCAGAGCCTAACAAGCGCCACCAGTACAACCAGAACCACCATCACCAACCTCACCACCACCAGCAGCTCGTCAAAAAATCAAGCATTGGCAAAAGCAGTCTTGGCCAAGCAAGCCCTCTGTTGTGGGCCAAGACCAAGCCCATGGGCTCTGAGATCTCCGAGCCCACGTCCCCAAAAGTCACCTGCGCTGGCCAGATCAAAGTCAGGCACAAGTCCGGCTCGTGCAAAAGCTGGCAGTCAGTGATGGAGGAGATTGAGAGAATTCACAACAACAAGAAACAGAGGAAACAGAGACGACCCGGTTGGGCAGAGGCTCTCGGGTTCAAGAAAGAAGTCATGCAATTCTTGACTTGCTTGAGAAACATTCGGTTTGATTTGCGGTGCTTTGGTTCTTTTCCTCAACCGGATATTTCTAGCGACGAGGATGAAGAAGAAGAAGAGGAAGAAAACAGGGACTGTCGAGAAAACCATGTGGGTGGTGAGGAAATTAGCGACGGTGGTGATCAGAGTAGCTCGAGGGCTATGTTTTCAAAATGGTTTATGGTTTTACAGGAAAATCAGAGTAATGGGTTTTGCACAGAAGATAAAAAGGAGAGAAATGATAGGCAGAGTTTGGATGACGAGGTTGGATCAACTTCTGAAGTTCCAGTAGCCTCTGTTCCGCCACCAAATGCTCTGTTGCTAATGAGGTGCAGGTCTGCTCCTGCAAAGACTTGGCTAGAAGAGAAAGAAAAAGAAGAAGAGGAAGAAAAAGAAGCAGAAAACAAAAATGGATTGGAAAAAGAAGAGAAAAAGGCCAAAGTTACTTTGAAGAGCTTAATGGAGGAAGATAAACAGAGAAAGAAGACAGAGAGTTTGGTGCTGATGGCATATGATTCTGATTTCTACAAGATTTCTTCTGATATTTCCAAGGAGACATGGGTTGTTGGTGGAATGAAAGATGCAATTTCCAGAAGTCGAAGTTGGAAGAGATGAAGAAGAAGAAGATGATCTCCTTTTTTTTTGTTTTCTTTTTTTTGGGTGTCAAAAGAAAAATATGGTATTTTTTTTCTTTATTAATTCTCTGGCTTGATTTGGTTTTGTGAGCTTTTTGTCCACTGAGTTATTCTGTGGGAACTGGTAAATCCAAAGCTCCTTTAGCTTACTTTTGCTTCATTCTTGTTGCTATAGATTTTAGTAAGGGAGCTTCACTAATATACCCAAAATACGAGCTGAAATTATAAAAAAACCCCACATGGAATGCACTTTAGAAACACACTCAAAATCCATTTACCAGATAAGAAATTGGTGTTAAAGTTCCTATAAATTACAGGACTGCCACTGATGGCCACCAGAAAAAAAAAACAAAAAAAAACTCAAAAAACACCCAAAACAAGCCCAGCCCAATTTTATAAAAAAGCCCAAACATTTTTTTAATTTTCATGGAGGTATCAGGAATGGCTTAAAAGTGGCGTAATTTGGTGAACATAACAATTTGACAAGAATTTTAGCCTAACTAGAGAATAGGGATATATACCTCTTAAGTAAATGGACTTAGCATTCATATAGGAGTTCGAACTTGAATTTGAATAAAATGATCAGAAATAACAAGTAAATTCCCCTAGAATGTCATCTCAACCCCTATGATAGACCAAAAATCTAACACAAGGGGAAAAATGTGAATTTCTGTATTCTTAATCCTACATAGGATCTTGCAAACCCTTGAATACAATGTGGTAATTAT